GCTACCGTTTCTGCTTTGTAGATTCACCACAGAAAGCATTAACAAGGCAGCTCATGTTTCGTCCCAACACCTGCACGGCAGGAACTGACTGGAAAGCTCTGGGCACGCACAGCTGAGCTCGCCGTGCAGGGGTGGGCAGGTGGGCCCTGAGAAGCCAGGCAGCACTCTACAGAAATACCTTAAGGCGGAGAGTGCAAGTTTGAAATAGAAACAAGGGTTCAGACCCTGACAAGTCTGGAAAAACCCAGACTCCTCTGAGAACTGGGCTGTTTTCCTTCCTCCCGCTACAGCCGTGGGTACCAGCCGCGTGGCCCCACCTGCTCAGGCTAACAGAGTGCACACCACTCTGCCCCTCCTCCTCCTCCTCTCTGGAGACTGGCAGTCTGTCCACTGACCATGTGGCTCACCAATGGTCACTCTTCCCCCTGGACTTCTCCACTCTGCTCACTCACTGTTGGCCCAGCTCATCACCACTCGTCCAGGACGGCCGCGATCAAAGGGCCGGGTGCGGTCCCAGTCCCCCAGCTAGCTAGCTGCACAAGCCTGGGCACGCTACTGAGGCTCGCTGTGTCTCCATGCTGGGATGACCTCACGGAGCCGCTTTCCAAACTCTAAGCAAAGGCACGTGTGGACCTGGCCGCTGCACAGGAAGCGCGTGATGGAGCCGGCTCCTGTGGCCATCAGCTGTGCCTGCACCAGCCTCCAGGTCCAGGCCCATCTCCAGACGCACACGTGTCCTGCAGGCGCTGGTGCACGGCCAGTCTGAGGGCCGGGCTGGGTTCCACTCATGGAACTGCACGGTCCCTGAAGCCTTAAACGTTTAGAAAGCTGGCGCTGGTGTTCCAGAAAGAGCAAAGGACAAGCTGTACTTTCACGGCTGGCTCATTCTAGGCCAAGGTCTGGGGTCGCGAGGCTATGCCGTTCTAACTTCTTCAATCCAAGAATCACGATCACAGTGCAGAAACAGACCACGGCGCAGACCACCTTCCCCCGCGGCCCCTGCTCTCACTTCACAGACGTCCACGCTGCCCCTGCAGGCACACTGGTGGTGCCGTGTGGGCTCCGAGGGGTCCAGACCCACACCCACCAAGGGGCAGCTCTGCCCGCCCCACTCTGGTTCCCACCACTTGTGTTTATCACGCTCATACGACAACCCTGAATATCCCATCAGTCAACACAACAGGGCTGCAAGAGAGGTGGCTCTGTGCTTAGGAGTGAGGACGATGCCCTGGAGACACGCGAGAAAAGGAAGTCACTAGAGACCAATCTCGTCCATCAGGTGTGGTCAGGGTGGCCCAGTGCTGCAAACGTCTTAAAGACGTTTAAAGAGGACAACTCAGAAACGTGGCTTCTGAAAGATATCTCAGGCACTCCAATCAATGCCCCGCGCCTGAAGCAGAAGTCTTAATGAATGCATTTACATACATGTTTTATGTTGAAATAAGCATTTAAGTTTGCTATTCCCTGAGTTAACTGACCTTTTAAATTAACTGAACCACTGCCAGATACACTTCATATCAACAGTCTACACTGACACCAAATTTCAACCCACTTCAAGCTATGAACATTTCTTAAGCCCGCTGTACGTAACAAATTTTTAAGTGGATATCTTATAGAACACAGAAGGCTTCAACCAACCAGACAGAAAAGAGAGAAGAGGAAGAGTCATTGTCACGGAGAAGCCCGGCTCGACTCAGCTGGCTTCCACCACACACACACACACACACACACACACACACCTGGGAATCCCAGACAATGTGAGTAGAGGACAAACTCAACAGCGGAGGCGAGCGGGACAGCACGGGGAAAACACACGGGAAAAGCACATGGAAGGCAAATGAGGCATCTACGTACCTGTTTTTGATGTGGTAATATATTGCAAGAGCTACACTGTAAAATAAGAGGCAGGATTTCAGTGTTTCAGGATTTCACGTATTCCGAACACAAACACTTAAATCCAGGCAAAAGCCAAACAGTGTCATGTCATTCAGGCGATCGGGGAAACTTACTCTTCAAACCACAGCGCCCGGGGCGCGCCCCAGGAACCCTGCCACGCTCCTAGTGCCTTTAGGAACAAAGCACTCTGTCCCAAGTTCCGCACGGCCCTCACTTGCGCGACGCAGGTGCTGTGTAAAACCCAGGTGGTGGGACCTAGACAGTGTTTGGAGCCTGCCCCTCCCCCCGCCAGTTTCGATCAGCGCTGCCCTGTAGCCACCGCAAGCCTGAGTAGCACCCACCGCACTCCGCTCTGCCTGGGCCTGAGCAAGTCTCCTGGGGTCCACAAAGCTTACCCACTCTCTGCTCGACGGCACCGTGACGTCCACCTGTGGGACCGCTTTCACGTGCTCACCCTACATTCCAGATCTCCATTTAATCAGTGATTACAGCCTCTTCCCTGGTGTTTTTTTTTTTTTTTTAATAAGGCTTTCCTAACGGTGAATACATTGTAATTATTGTAGGCATTCTGGAAAATTCTTACGCATAAAGGAATATAATCCTTCTGCCCAAAGGTAGCATTGTTAGCTGGCGATGTAAGGACACCTATCTAGAACCTATACAATTAAACAAACAGGCTGGCATCCTCTTATCCTTACTGTGTCAGCAGTTTTCTGACCATTAAACCATCCTTCAAAACCACGACTTTAAATGGCTAATTATAATCCATTCCATGGTCACTGAGTGCCTTAACCACTTCTCTAGTGGTGAACTTTCCAGGTGTTCTCTAATATTTATGGAGCACAATTCACACCACAACGGCCGTCTTCACAAATACCCATGCCAGCTACGACCACATTCTTTCCACTGTCCATGTGGGAGTAAGTCCCTGGTGCCGTGCGCCAGGGCCCTCTGCAGACACCATGGCCACGTGCATCCTCAGTGCACCTGTCCCAGCTAACGCTGCTGACACCCACCCAGAATGTGTCACAGGAAAGTTCTCCAAAGGCACAGGCAAATGGGGGCCTTTACTCAAGCAAGCTTCTTAAAGATGTATTGGAAAGGCAGAGGGAGAGAGAGAGATCCATCTATATCCATCTGCCGGTTCACTCCCCAGACGGCCACAGCGGCCGGGCTGCGCCAGACTGAAGCTTCTTCGGGTCTCCCACGTGGGTGGCAGGGCCATAAGCGCTGGGGCCACCTTCTGCTGCCTCCCCAGACACATCAGCATGGACTGGAGCAGACGGGACTTGACCTGCTGCATCGCTGGGGGCGGCTTTACTCGCTGCGCCACCGCAGCGGTCCCGGGACATGGGCTGTCACTCAGGCTGACGGCCACGTGGTTCGTGATTTCCTCGTGAACAGCGTCCTCTAGATCCTTGCACCATCTTTACTCCATCTGAACTCTCCTGAGCTGCTCAGAGCACAGCTGGCCGGCGCTGGCAGGCCGCGGTGCTGTGGCGGTGTCCTCCTCGCCCAGAGCACCCGAGCCGAGGAGGACTCCAGCTGGGCTTGCGAAGGGGCTTCAGGATCGCAGTCAACACTTATCGCCGGGGTTTTACATTGGCATCGTCACTGTAGACATTAGCAGCGCTGGGAGTGAAGACGGTAGATGCGGCTGATCCTACGTCAGGAAGGAGCAGTGGATGCCAGGGATTCTGGTCTGCGTGAGGTCTGTGCCCTCTGGAAGGGAGAAGTTCCTGTGTTCTTTACCTCACGGTCACCTCGCTGGCTGCTTTGCTCGCCTGGTGTGAGGTCTAAAAGGAGCGATCTGGACGATGGGGCTAGTGTAATAATTACGCTCATCTTGGACTGCCCTGCTAGCCCCGGCGAGGGAGCCGGACACAGGACCGTGGGACGGACATCACTGGGCTGACGTCACAGCCCTCGCTTAGGGTTAGTGCGCCCCTCGGGAGCCTCCTCTGTAACACTGGGACGACACAGCCCCCATCACAGAGCTGCTGTGGCCACAGGAAATCAAGCAGAGGAAGCGCCACCCCAGATACAATCGTCCAGGGTGAACAGTTTGTTACTGTCCCTGCCCAGTGACAGATCTGGCTTCTCCAGCCTGGTGCAAACCTTCAAGACCCCCGGTCCCCGTCTCCCTAGCCCAAGGCAGCACTGAATGTGAACATGGCCAAGAGCCACACCCTTGGAAGCAGGAACACCAGCTAAGCACCTGCCACCCCAGCCAGCCAGGCTGCCTTCCTGGGTGCAGACAAGGGGCCGGCCATGTGTCTGTAACTTGGGCAGGCCTCGATTGACAGGGCCCTTGAACTCTAAAAATCAGCTTAGACGTGAGCTGTCTAGAACTTGGAGCAAGGAGACTTGGAGCAAGGAGACTTGGAGCGGTGAAGCCTAATGTATCAGTGACTGCTTGAATCTCAACACTGGATAAGGTCTGGATGCGGCGGCCGCAGAGAGAGCAGAGACGGCTCCGGGAGCTCCCTGCGGGTGGGTGCGGGGTGCTCCGGGGATAAGGTCTGGATGTGGCCGCAGAGAGCAGAGACGGCTCCGGGAGCTCCCTGCGGGTGGGTGCGGGGTGCTCCGGGGATAAGGTCTGGATGTGGCCGCAGAGAGCAGAGACGGCTCCGGGAGCTCCCTGCGGGTGGGTGCGGGGTGCTCCGGGGATAAGGTCTGGATGTGGCCGCAGAGAGCAGAGACGGCTCCGGGAGCTCCCTGCGGGTGGGTGCGGGGTGCTCTGGGCTGGGCAGGCGTCAGGACGCAGCACCTTCCTACTCCTCTGCTCGCCTCCCCTGTCAGGGGACCGCTTTCCTGACACCTCAGAGCCCCGGGCAGTGCACACAAGCCACGACGTCTCCATGGACATCTGGTCTTCGCAGCTGACTCCTCTGATCGGCTCCTGCGGCCTCGGCTTCCTCTTCCTCCACCCGTGAATTCAACTCACAGCTTATTCAGACGTGTCAAGGGGAGCAGGAGGCAGCTGCCCACTTGCACCAGGACCCCCAAGCCTGGCTGCCCACCGGAATCTCCGGGGGAGGGCAGTGACACCACGGGAGGGTTCAGCCGAGGTCTGTGGGGGGACGCCCACCGGCTGTGTGCTCTTAAGCTCCCTGGCGGCTCCCAGGAGCACCCAGGGCTGGCACAGGTGTTTTATGTGGACATATACGTATCTCAGGTGCACCCCGCAGACAGGCCCAGCACCAGGCTCCCAGGAGTGTGTCACACCACTGGCAATTTTAAGCCGCCTAACGGCAAGCTGCTGAGTCAGACCCACCTGACCTTGGCAACCCTGGCGAGCCTCCCTGTCCCCGACACGCAGCGTCCCTCTGCTCCTGCTAGGAGAGGCCCGGAGGCAGGGGACGTCAGTCGCTCTGGGCTAGAGCGGATGTCAGCTCAGCGCCCGGCACCGCTCCGGCCCTTCCACATCTCTGTCCCCATGACGTAATGCAGGAAACATTCCCAGAGGCACTGAGCCTCCCTTCCCGGCAGGAAGCTCCAGCCCAGGCAAGGCCACGCCGCAGCACGGGGGTAGGGTGACACTTCGTCTCCACCCAGACAGGGGACAGCAGGGAGCTGGAGCCCAGCAGGCGGGAGGGAGGCACGCCGTCCTCACGGCAACCTGACGGGCGCTGGTCACGTGGGCTCACACGCCGAGCGGGCTACAGAAGGCTTCTGAGGTAGAAATCTGAACGCTCGCTTCGCAGGATGGCTGCAGGGTGGCTCAGGAGGGGGACCGTCTTCCAAGGCACAGACGTGAACCGTCGGGCGTTCCACTGGAGAGCTCCGGGCCAGACCCCAGCACCCCAGGGTCTCCATGATGGCTGGCAAAGGCGGCAGGGAAACGCGGCCCCCTGCTTGCTCCGGCCCAGCCCCGCACAACCTCCCCAGTGAGAGAGCGCCCAGCTCCAGGCACACACACCGGGGCCCGGGCGCAGCCTCCAGTGTCTGGAAGGGCAAACGCCGGTGGGGCTGTGCCAGGTCGGCTTCAGTGTGCAGTGGGAGGGGGAGAGCATGCGCAGAACCAACAAGCCTCACAGAACCTGCGTTTAAACCTGACTTACGACTCGGGCCTTCTATGCACACAGCATTATGTAAGCATGTTTCGAGCTCCCTGCAATCTAACCACCAAAACCCCTCGCTAAGCAGAAGTCCTGGACTGTTCCCGCTGCCCCTCCCCACCCACCCCTACCCCCCAACCCCACCCCGGCTCGGCTGTTCCCGCTGCCCCTCCCCACCCACCCTCACCCCCACCCACCCTCACCCCCACCCCGGCTCGGCTGTTCCCGCTGTCCCCCCCCCCACTCGGCTGTTCCCGTTGCCCCTCCCCACCCCCCGCTCAGCTGTTCCCGCTGCCCCTCCCCCCGCTCCGCTGTTCCCACTGCCCCTCCCCACCCACCCCCACCCCCGGCTCGGCTGTTCCCGCTGCCCCTCCCCCCACACCACCCCGCCACGGCTCGGCTGTCCGTCAGGTGAAGGGGCTGCAAAGGCGTCCGCATACCCACCATTTAATTGTATACTTGAGGTTCGGTTGACTGACTGTGCTATCGTCTAGGAAAATAGTGGAGCAGGAGCTGTACTTCCTTGCTATTTGTCCTGGAGGGTGCTGGAAGACAGGGGAACAAGACAAGCACAGTCACACAGGGCCCCACGTCCCGTCACCCCCTCTGCTGGGCACCGACCGCAGGCCCCCGCCGACAGGGAACATTCCACTCACAAGAGGGACCCCCGCACATTCGCGTGGCACCGCCCAGCCCCGAGTCTCCTACACCTGGGGGACCCTGCGACACACAGGGCGCACCGTGCACCCCAGGAGGGAGGCCCACGGCTGGCTGGCATCCTGCTCCTGTGCCCTGGGGTCAATCCAGGGGTCTGCCGTGCGCGTGGGCCCCTGGGCTACGGCTCGCCGGGGCCCGGAAAGTGCAGGCGACGCTAAGTTAGACTCTCCGGACGCTCTGGGTTTCAGCAGCTGAAGTCATAGAGAAGGAGAAGAATCTTTGCTTTGTTAGGGACAAAGCAGGTTTGAGAGGAAAACTACCTGACACTTCAGAAACTACGAGCGCTGGGTGACACTAGGTGGTGGGACTGTGCAGGCTGTTGTTTTTAAAGATTTGGTCGTTTATTTGAAAAGCGCACAGAGCGAGACAGAAATAGAGAGAGAGCTATCTGTGGTTCACTCCCCAAATGGCCACAACGGCCAAGTTTGGGCCAGGCTGAACCAGGAGCCTGTAGCTTCGTCCAGGGGGCAGGGCCCCAGGCTGCCTCCCGAGTGGATTAGCAGGGCGCTGACGGGAAGCGGAGCCCATCCGGGGTGCTGGCATCCCGAACAGCGGCTCCACCTGCTGTGTCTGTCAGGAGCCCGCCCCAAGGGCCCAGCCCCGCCTGTTCTCCACGGCCGAGTTTTGTGCTCCTGGAGAACGTTAGCACGGAGCACTCCTCCCGGAAGGGCCAGGAAGGGAGGTGGTGCTGAATTTACACGCCGAGGCCTAGCTGAGCACTAAGCAAAGGTGTGGACGCTGTCACTCACTTCCCACGCGGTGAGCGTTCCGTACCTAAACAATCAGAGGGACACACTGGGGGATCCTGGTTCCCGTTCGGGCATCCGGTTCCTGACAGCGCAGCTAGAGGGCGCTGCACCCCGCAGCCCCCGGCCCGCCTCCCTCCCCAGGCGTGGGTGGGAAGGAACCAGCCAGAGGGAGGAAACGCACACTCCCTTCCCCCTGACGCCGCCTTGTGCTGGGGGCAGGGGCGGGGGGGCAGGGGTTACACCTCGTGGGTTGTAACGTGGCAGGCCGCAGCACTCTCAGGACGCCACTCCAAGACCATCCCTGTCGGTTCTCGGCAGCTCTTATGGCAATCGCATTGCGATCAGGCAGGGCACACTGAAACGCAGAATCTAACAGCCACCAACACGGCGGCAAGCGTTTAGAAGAGCCTCAAATCCTCTCCCCACAGGCGCCCACCTCTCAGCACACGCCATCAACCCGACACCCAGACTGAGAGAGCCTTCCGAGGGTCGGAGACGCCACCTGTGCTTCCCGGGCGGTTTCCACTCTCCCTCTGACCCGGGCCTCAACTGCGAAGGGAACTGCCGGGAACAAAGCTTCCTGGGCCGGGAAGCGAGGCGCGGCAGAGCAGGCGTGCACTTGCCCCCTTGTTGTCTAAGAGGTCACCCCCGGAGCTCATGGACGGCAGGGGGCGCTGCGCTGGATGCCCAGCCCCAGGAGTCAGGATTAACACAAACCAGCCACACCGAGGGGCCTGGCCCGGGGCGCGGCCCAGAACCAAGGGCTGATCTGCCAAGTTCTCAAGGCGAGGCCTCGTCAGCCTCCCGGGCCCACAGGTGTTAAGCTACGGGGATTCTTGGCTGCAGGGATCCGACACCCTGATCACCACCTGGGCGTGAAGCCATCGGGTGGACGTCAGGCCGACCGCGACGGCCGAGCGTCATTCTCTAGATCTAAACCCCAGATCTCCAAGAAGCTCAAGCGACCAGAGAAGCTCCTGGCCTGAGGCTGCTCCCCGTTCTGGGTGTGCGGAGGGAGGGAGGACCACGGTGTACCCAGCAGCCGGGCGCACCTGTGCCGCTGACAGCACAGAGAGCAGTCTGGCTCCTTGATGGCCAGAAGGGGAAGGGAGCCAGCGCCCCTCGGTGATGAGCGCAGGAGTAGGGTGAGGCGCGACCTAAGGAAGGAGGTCTGGCTCGTGCTGCTACTTGGCGAACTACAAGGAGGACGTCACTCACGAAGACCACCTGCCGGTGAGCGCCCTCCTAACAGACAAATGCACGGAGACAGAGTGGCGCAGGACGGGTAGAGAACAGGAGGCGACAGCTCCTGGGCCTGGGCTTCTTCCTGGGGAGACGAGTGTGCTAGCACAGACCCTGGGAGACGAGTGTGTGAGCACAGACCCTGGGAGATGAGTGTGTGCTCACAGACCCTGGGAGACCAGTGTGTGCTCACACAGACCCTGAGAGATGAGTGTGTGCTCACAGACCCTGGGAGACCAGTGTGTGCTCACAGACCCCGGGAGACGAGTGTGTGCTCACAGACCCCGGGAGACGAGTGTGTGCTCACACAGACCCTGGGAGACGAGTGTGTGCTCACACAGACCCTGGGAGACCAGTGTGTGCTCACACAGACCCTGGGAGACCAGTGTGTGCTCACAGACCCTGTGAGACCAGTGTGTGCTCACACAGACCCTGGGAGACCAGTGTGTGCTCACACAGACCCTGGGAGACCAGTGTGTGCTCACAGACCCTGGGAGACCAGTGTGTGCTCATGCAGACCCTGGTGAGGGGCACAGCACTCTGGGAGTGCACCAAACCCACAAAATTTTATGGCATGTAAATTAGATATCAATAAAGTTGTCTTTTAAAAAATATATATGGCAAAAGCCAAAGACCAAAGTCCAGAAACCAAAACCTCACGGGAGACTGGAAGGGGAACCAAGGGTGTCAGGGTTCTGAGTTCTGCAACGTGGTCCCAGCCACCCTGCGGACGGCCTGGATGCAGGGCCACCCCCGTGGCGACTGACCTCAGCCCCCGGGCTGTCTGCTCTAGAAGGAAGCAGGGCTCCTGGAGGAATGGCTGATGCCAAAAAGCGAAGGAGTCCCCAAAACAAACAGAATGAGGGCGTGTCACAGGGCACGGGGCCCCCGAAGTGTGTGACTGGCCAAATCCAGGACAAGGCAAGCATTCAAATGATGGAGAATGGGGGTGAGCTGTGTCTCCCCAAAACAACGGAAGCCGCAGGTGTACACGGAAGATGGATGGACGGACGAAGGCAGCCCTACCCCGCAGGAGAACGGCAACCTACAAGTGTGGGGGAGTGGGGGGCCGAGGGATGGCGACACAGATGGGCTGTGAGGAGCGTGGACAGCACACACTAACTCGGGCTGGGGAGCAGAGCAGCGCATCCACGTGGTCAGACAGCGTCTGCGGCAAAGGACCAGAGGATGGGAGTGCCCGTGCCTGCGTGTGCTTCCCCTCTCTCCCTGTAAACCTCTCACATACATAACCAAGTCAGCAGGAAAGTGTCTGCCCACTCGGTGCTCGCACGGGGGGGAATCCAGACAGCCGCTTCCTGACCATCAGAGTCAACTCCAGCGACCCAGGGCCTCGCCTGCAGGCCCTGGAAGGGCAGGAGCAGGCCCCAGCTGGTTCTGTGGCGAGCGCTCCCTGAGTCCCGTGGGTGAGCCGGGGTGGGGGTGGGGGGTCCTGTTGCAGACACAAATGGCCCCGAGTTCTGCACCAGTGTCTGTGACACGGAAGACAGAGGAAGGCGGGGACCTGCTCCAGACGGCAGGATGCCACGGCGCCCCTAGAGAATGCCAGGGCGGCCCTGGCCTGCAGCCGTGGCAGAGGGCAGGGCCCACGGAGGCCTGTGTCTGGGGTCCCATCACACCGTGAAGGCAGGCCAGCTAGCCAAAAAGAACTCTAACCAATGGAGAATCCCAATTCTGACGACACCGCTGTGGTGACAGAGAACAGCCGTGGCCTCCGGAAATACACAAGGACATGGCGGAGCCACCACCTCCCAGATGAGCCAGGAGAATTAACACAGGCTGCTGGTCAGAGGGTCACAAGAGACAGTGATGGTCACTGGTTTAAAAGCGGTGAGTCTGGGGCCGGCGCTGTAGCACAGCGGGTTAACGCCCTGGCCTGAAGCGCCGGCCTCCTGTATGGGCGCCGGTTCTAGTCCTGGCTGTTCTACTTCTGATCCAGCTCTCTGCGGTGGCCTGGAAAAGCAGTGGAAGATGGCCCAAGTCCTTGGGCCCCTGCACCCACATGGGAGACCTAGAAGAAGCTCCTGGCTCCTGGTTTTGGATCCATGCAGCTCCAGCTGTTGCAGCCATCTGAGGAGTGAACCAGTGGATGGAAGACCTCTCTCTCTGTCTCTACCTCTCTCTGTAACTCTGTCTTTCAAACAAATAAAATAAATCTTAAAAAAAAAAAAAAGCGGTGAGTCTGAGTAAGGAGTAGGTCAGAGTTTTCTGTATTAGTACAACTGCTTTGACAAGTTGAAAGCTTTTCAAAACAAAAAAGCCATGCACACCATGCACACAGACGCTGCCCTGGGAGCCTGGCGCACGGCTCAGCGGGAGAATCTGCTGCTTATGTGTGCATGTGTGTATTTTCCATTTGAAAGGCACAGAGACAGAGAGAGCCACATGGACAAGGACCGATTTCCCACCCTCTGGTTTATTCCCCAAATGCCAGCGACAGCCAGGGGGCTGGCCCAGGCTGAAGCTGGAGCCAGAACTCAAGGTGGGTCTCCCACATGGGTGGCAGGGACCCAAACGCTTGAGCCACCATCTGTGCCTGCCAGGGTGGCATCAGCAGACGCTGGATGGGGAACAAAGCTGGGACCCAAGCCCAGGCACTGGGACACGGGACAGGCATCCCACGTGCCCTCCTAACGGCTGCACCGATGCCCGGCCTCAGGCTGCCTCTTCAAAGGCCTTCCTGAGAAAAGTGCTTACTTCAAACACAAGTCTGTTCCTTGTCAGACTTCACGGCTCCCTCGGTCTACAGCCCCGAGCGAGAGGGAAAAGCTGCAAACCGAGCAACGAAGAAGAGAAAACTAAGAGTGCGCGGTGCAGGGGATGCAGCGCCACACGGCCCTGGGCAGCCAGAGTCAGTGGCACCCGAGCACCGTGAGAAGCGGCAGCAGGGCCAGGGATCTGCGCCGGCCTGTTCAGGGACGACACCCAGAAAGCGTGTGAGGTCGGGCTCCCAGCACAGCAGCCCTCAGAGCGACCCCTCCCGTGGGAGTCGTACCCAGGACCCCCCTCAAAGGCACCAGCGAAGTGGCTCCACCTGTCAGCTGGCCTACGTTGGCATAAACCATTCCACCCTCCCGGGGCCACTCCTGCAGAGGGAGAGGGCAGAGGGAAGGGAGGGAGGCCACAGCCGGTGAGAAAGGGAGAGTCCTCCTCGGAGCTGCCCACTGCACCAGCACGGCTGTGTAGGGGGCATCAGCAGGTCTGGCCATTCCGCAAAAGCGAGGAGGGTGGGGGCTGGGCAGCCAGGAAATAGAGGAGAAGCAATTTAAGTAAAGGGATAAGAGGAGAGGGAATGACCAACTGCAGACCCACGCCTGAGTCTTGCGCACGCCTGCTGCGTCAGCACTGGGTCTCCCGGGGGCAAAGGCAGGGACAGGATTTTTAAAATTGTGGTTTCTGGATCTAGCTCGCTTAACTTCGACTCAGGGCGTCCAGAGAAGAGTGTAACCTGACAGGGCCCGTTCCACAGGAGTTCAAAGCTAAAATGCAGAAATCAGCTCAGAATGACCCCGTGTAAGAACAGACATGGAGCCAGCGGGCTAAGCAGCCCCCGGGACACCGCAACTCAGGCGAGGGCCAAGTCCTGGCTGTCACACTTCCGACCCTGCGTCTGGGAAAGCGGGAAGATGGTCCAGGACTCGGGCCCCTGTCCCCCGTATGGGAGACCACCACGGGGGCCCAGGCTCCTGGCTCAGCTTGCCCAGCCCCCACCACGGCAGCCTTTGGGGGACGTGAACAAGGACATGAAGACGGACTTCTACTCCCTCTCGCCGTGACTCTGCCTTTCAAATAATCAATGACCATCTTACCACGAAGCAGCGAACACCACTCACCAGTGTTCCCAGAGGAGCCGACCACACACACTCCTTGGGAGCAACCCCGGGTCTTAGTAACTGCGATTAAACGGTATCCACGCTGCAGGTACCAGAGAGACTTCCACCAGCGGTGTCACACCCACTTTCAGTCCAGGGCAGTTCCTGCATCGCCCTCCGCTCGTCACCCAGGCCCGGAGGCCAGGAAGTGCCACCCAACCAGGAGACAAGAAAACCCAGAGAGCAAGCTTCCTGGGCCATCGGCGGCTCCCAGGCCAGCCAACAGCATGGCTCCTGCTCACCTGGACAATAACCCTAACTGCTTTACTTCCCCAGAGGTTCTAGAATATTCCCTATGTCGATGTTGATTTTTTTTTTTAAATGAAGATGACACCAAATAACACCTTTCTCATTCCAAAGTGCGTTACAGCAAATCAGATGTGGGGCAGACTGGCCATGCCACTCCTGGCTTTTTTCTGTTTCAATCTTTTTTTGTTTTCTAAGTTCTTAGGACAATCAACTCGTTTTAGGTGCACTCTCGCCGAGAGGCAGAAGAAGGCAGCTGAACGCCAAAGTCCTGAGTCTGGCCTGGTGTCGGGAGGGCCCCACAGGTACTTACCACGGCAAGATTTTCACTTCAATTAAACGATGGGTTGAAATAGCTAATCTTTTTTTTTTATTTTAAAAAAAGCCACAATTAATCCTCCGCCTTGCGGCGCCGGCACACCGGGTTCTAGTCCCAGTCGGGGCGCTGGATTCTGTCCCGGTTGCCCCTCTTCCAGGCCAGCTCTCTGCTGTGGCCAGGGAGTGCAGTGGAGGATGGCCCAAGTGCTTGGGCCCTGCACCCCATGGGAAACCAGGAGAAGCACCTGGCTCCTGCCATCGGATCGGCGCAGTGCGCCGGCAGCAGCGCACCGGCCGCAGCGGCCATTGGAGGGCGAACCAACAGCAAAGGAAGACCTTTCTCTCTGTCTCTCTCTCTCACTGTCCACTCTGCCTGTCAAAAAAAAATAAATAAAATAAAAAAATAAAAAAATTTTAAAAAGCCACAATTTAAATTTTAAATAAAGAGCAAACTCGAAATAAAACCATCACGCAAGCCTTTTAAAAATACCTGTTTCTCTTACGGAACACACTCGATTTTCCTGTAAGAACTAACTGCATCTCACGGCAGCAGCATCTGTACTTCCCCCCCGGCTTCACCTGCTTGCAGACTCCCAGAGCAGGAGGTCCTCGAACCCCCAGGGATCCTTCCAGAAACAGCCTCCCTCCACGGAGCCCCCTCCTCTGCTCTGAGCCAGCTGAGGGCCACGCCCCCTGCCTTCCCCCAGGGGAGTGCACCAGGACAGTCTGCTTCCCACCCTGCTTGGGCTGGAACAGGACAGGGGACGATCGCCCAGGGCCAGCAGCAGGAAGCAGAGCCGAGCGGCACAGCCACACCCACCGCCTTCCTCCTCCCTAAACCACGGCCCCGGTGTGGATTCGCCCAGCAACACGTGTCAGGCCTGCACAAGGGGTTAACTGCCATTCTCAAGTTCAACAGCAAGTTAAACCACAAACTTCATCAGAATCAGATTCAGAAATGAGACCCACAGATGCTACCGCAGAAATCCACGTACAGACATGGTGTCCAGCTTCAGAGAAACCGGCCAAGCCCCCGAGTGGTGGCAGGAACTGGTGCTGTACCTGGGGAGCGTGCAGAACGGGAGCTCGTGGGGGCTCGGGGCCGGGCCTCCTGGGTTCCTTGCCTGGTGCTACCACGCACTTGGAGACTTCCTTAAGCTTCGGGCTCCTCCTCTGCAGAAGGGCAATGAGGAGGGGTCCCGCCCCAAGCAGGGACCCTGTGCTGAGTCCAGCACACGCAGTCATGTGCTCAGGGGACATCACCAAGCCCTACCCGAACCTCTGGCCGGCCTGTTGCCCCTGCAGGAGTACGGCTTGCGTGCTACCTCGGCCGCCTGGCATGGCACGCCCTGCGGCTGGCTTCCCCCAGCCACGCTCACTCTCAGCAAGATCTGTCCACAGACTTCCTAGGATGGTCGTCCGCCACCCAGGAGAAGGGCACTGGAGCAGACCTCCATCGCTCGCTGTACGGCAGGAGACAGGAGGCTACCGGGGCTCTGCAGGTGGGGCGGGGCTACAGACAACACCTGCAGGCAGAACAGGCAATCACACCCCGAGCCCAACAGGTGTTCACCCAGGGCGAGGCAGGCCCACAGACCTCACGGGACACCACGTGTGCAGGGGGAAAGTGGACAGCACACCACGGGACAGACACCATGTGTGCACGGCTGGTCAAACTCTTGCCCTTGTCCTTCTGCACACCAACGGTGAGGGTGGCCCGGCTGTAGATCCAGCACAGCGCCTGGCACATGCGCTACCGGGTGGGGAGTCAGCTAAGGGCCCCCAGCAGCCAAATAAATGGAACCAAAGACTTAGATTGAGCTCTGGCCTTCACATCTCTACACCAAAGCACACGCTCCTTCAAAGAAAAAAATCCCAATAATCAACAAAATACACCCTGGCAATTTTCAATATCTCCTACTGACGACATATGAGGGGCCTTCAAAAAGTCTGTGGAAGAGGACTAAAAAGGTCAGTTTACTTTCTTGAAAGATTTTTGGGGATCCAGGCCAACAAGGCATCTTCCGAAAGCCCATGAAAACGTGCATCATGGAAAGACGCGGTGGCTTTCCGACTGTTCCTGCACCGAGACAGACTCGTGCAATCCTAGTTTCCAAACACTTTTAGAAGGACCCTCACACTGATTCCACAGACCCCTTCCACCCACGCTTCATCGTCCGGGCCGCACACTGCCGTGAAGCGACCTGGCCCCATGGAAGCCGCGAGCACGCACACAGACGCTGCCCACACCTGGAGGTCAAGTACCTGGTAGGGACCCCTCTCTCTAACCGCGTTCTGTCCCTCGCAAAGGGCCAGGGATGCGGCATTATGGCTCTGAATCTCTTCAACATGCGGCTCTAGTGCCAGGTACCCCGAGGCTCACATACGTGATCACATGCAGAGAGAGCATCTACAGGTCCAAAGACCTCGGTCAGGACCAACACAGCCTGGTTTCAGCAGGAGGACGCACACCGCACGCTCATCCCGACCGTTCAGCTGTCCTCACTCCAGACCTCCTGGGGGAGTATTCTTTTCACTGACTTGGGAGCAGAGGAAGGGGCAGCTGTCACCGGGCTGCCGGCAGGGCTCGCCCTGGACCACGGGGCTGGGGAGCCGGAGCCAGCCGGATGCACCTGTCGCTCGAGGAAGTAGGATAAGAGACCTTCCTGGGACGCCTCACACCTGGCCACCAGGTGTATCAGGTCCCGCTCGGGAGGGCTGGGCTTTGCAGAGACCCTTTAAAGTGCTACCAAGTTTATCC